TGAACTTTTTTATTTATTTGAATAAATACAATAAAAAACTCAAGCCTTGGTGGAGCTCCTGAACTAAAATTTTGTTGAGCAACACTATGTACTGTAATGTTCATGACTTCTGCAGCTGTTGACAGGTATGTTGGTTCACTGTTCATAAGCAGGGTACTTTAATTTGTCTCAGTTTGTTTTGTTTTCATATTTCAAACAAGAATTCAAAATTAAGATTTTAGTTTCATGAAATTTTTAACTAGCAAATTTTTATTTATTATTAGATTTACAGTTTTGCCCTATCTCCATTACTAGTGTGAGTTTGTACACTTTCAAGCACAATCTATATATAGATATATATCTATAAATATATATATGTAATTTAATTAATTGTTTCATAACCTAAGTCAGCTTAAAACTTAAGAAAAGGCTCTCATACAACAGATTTAGTGGGAATAAATATGATTTCTATGTGTTTCCATCAATTTCAGAACTGTGTACTGCTTTGTGTTGATCTGTCACCATAAACCACCAAACTCATCAATTGTTTTACTTTGAACGAAGATGGAAAAGTTTGGATGCATGAATACTTTTGTAAGTAGCTGTGTGCCAATAAAATTTCTGCTGCAGAATCAATGCTACATATATACATGTGAGCTTACTGTGTGCTATGTTTCTTATTTATTTGTCTTTACCGTAGTTTAGATTGATGTTCTCAGACATTTTCTAAATCTCTTTTGCTGGGTGGTTTAAATAGGTGCTCAATCTGAGGAAATTTGTGTCCAAAGTGTCCAAACTCTCCACGACATCCCTGTCTTATGTGTTGTTAAACATCTGTCCAGAAAAGGTGTGCATTGTTGTTTTGCATGTCTAAATATCTGGTGTTATTTGCAATTATGATCTTGTGAAAACACCTAAACTATGTTATTTCATAGGTATTTCTTTGGCCCCTTCTATATTGAACTTGTAAAATAAAACGTCTAATATTGTAAAACCCCAGCTGTTCTCTTAGAATATAAAATTTTATATAAATTCCTTTGACTGAAAACAAGAAAGGTCTCATATTTTGCTATTGAGATGGTAAAAAAACCATTGATGTAAATTTGTGAATATTTCCAACTTTAATAACCTCTTAAGTTATTGACAACATTGCTTGACATATTATTAATGCCAATTTACAACTGTTACTCCTTAATGTCTGTTTTAATATATGAAATTGTGAAATAAGAATGTTTGTCTATTTTCATATGAGAATCTTAAAGGCATGAAATTATGATTGTTTTTGCTCCTTTTTTACTATGACCATATTTTGCTTCTTCTTTTTCAATTTATCTACTGTATATAGTGCCAGTTTGCCACACTACATGTCAAGCACTCTGCAGAGTCAACTCAATTAAATCACATGGAATAGGGCAGACTGGGGTTTAACATCATCCCAGGAGATATGTCTGGAGAGGCATTTTAACCGATTACAAAATAGATGCAAATATAATATATATATATATTTTTATATTTGCATATCTGCATATTTTATATGGCTCCTATTATAACATTGCCTAGGTATTTTACATTGGCTACTTGCTAAATCAAGGTTGGAAAACAACCCATCGCCTGACAGTACGTGTAAGAATTCACTTTCAGAAATTATTGAGGTTATTTTAAAATGGTAGACTTAATAATGAAATAATAATACATTTAATTTATACTGCACTTTCCATCAAAATGTCTCAAAGTGCTACAGGTAAAAAGAAAAAAAAAGCGTGAAAAACCTCTAAAGGGGACCAAAAGCTTTGCTAAAAAGAAATGTTTTAAGGTCTTTTTTTAAAACAAGAGGTGTCCTCAAGGTGACAGGGAGGGCATTCCACAGATGTGGGGCAGCAGCACAAAATGCCCTATCTCCCATTGTCCTGAGTCTGGTTCTGGGAATGTGGAGGAGGTTTGAAAGAGTTAAGCGAAGGGAGCGGGTTTCAATGTGCTCATGTTTCTCATCAGGATCCTAGCTGTAGAGTTTTGAATGTACTGAAGCCTCTGCAGACTCTTTCTAGGGATGAGAAGTTCTTTGCAATAG